TTTCGGGCACTTAGACAAGTATAAATAAATTGTTGCAAATTACAACACCTCTCAGAAGCATCAAATAAAAACTGAAACCCTAGTGTATTATAGTCTATCTGTAAACAAAGTCTACTGTATATCACTTGCCATTCACACATAAAGTTCAAGATAAGTGTTTTTAGGTGAAATAGATAAGAAAGTGGGTTATCTATTAAGTATTTAAATGATTTAAATTTTCAGATTAAGAATTAAATAGAATTATTTACGCTAAATATTAAAATAATCTGAATATTTATATATTTTTATTGATTTCTATTTAATTAGGTTTATAATCAATTTTTGCCTTCGATTTTCGTTATTTTTTTAAAAAATTAAAATTTTATATAATCCTTGTTTCATTTATTATAAAATTTATTGAAATATATTTTTTATTAAATCAGGTAAACTTTGTTTTGCAAAAATCATCATTTATTTGATCACAAAACATATTTCTTTTATCCCATAATATTTTAATTTTTGTTACTTTATAGTTACTTAAGGATAAATTAAAAATTAAAATTTTTAAATTTTCACTATAATCGTTATTACATTTAGGGAATGCATAAAAATAGGTTAAGGAGCAAATCGTTTTACAGAAAAGTTTAATTTGATCATATACTATCAAAAGTGTGTAACAAATACTATATAAATTGATGAATATATTTTATCATAGAAATTAATTTGCATTCATTATTGTCATATATAAATATATGGTAAAATATACAATATAAGTTAACGGTTTTATGTAAATCTAAATGAAAAATGTTAAACATATACGTTGAAAAATGTCTGTTTAAATGCGATTTATATTTGTATGGGAAAATACAAAATACATTGAGATATTTTTCTTATACCAATCGAATAACGAGTAAAAAATAAAGAAATAAAATTACTGTGCAACATGCTCTTATTTCGATTAATTCTTACAAAGCTTGTAAATGTGTGTGTTTGATCAAATCAACTGCCGTGAGTTCCGAACTCAAAACCTACCTATTGTCTACTAAGGTATGAAATTCTTTGAACATTGCGTCCCTTCGGTTTATTTTTCGGTAATGGTGGCTTGTATTGGTAATTATAATTTGTATATAGCATTTCTCCACACGTGTTTTAACATCACGTTTTAAATCTTTTAATACATACTTATTAGAATACATGCACATTGAAAATACATTGACAAGTATTATTAAAAGTTTGAGAAATCAAAACTGATGAAAGTCAGAAAAAAATTTAAATGCTTATTCTGTTATTTCATTTGTACAATTATATCTAAAATTTAATTATAAAACAAATAATTCATGTTTAACGTGCCCTTAGCACGTAGGTAATGGAAAAGTGTTTACAAAAGTTGAGGCCATACAAATACAAACTGTTTTATACTCGGAGAAAAATATATAGTCACAAAATATTTTTATTATATGGCATTAAATAATTCAATATATAATATATAATATTTTAAGATAAAGGAAACTTTTTTTCAAATATATTAAATATTTTAAAAGCCAACATGAAAAATTTTGTACTTTATTTTCATTTTTATTTCAATCTTGAAAAATATAAAATCTGTTTTCATTTTCCAAGTATCACATATTCAGAATGTGTTTACGTACAAATATAAGTGGTGAGTGGTAGAGCAAGAAAGAGCGGGATAGAAAGAAACAGGCCTTTGGAAATTTAAAATTCCGATTTCGATTATGCAATGCTATCACTACATTCATCGTCGACATGGTACACATATACAAAATACACGGAATAAAATCAGATCGGACATTTAAAAGCTGCATAGATGTGATAGAGTGAAAGTATTGCTCGAATACAGGGTGGTTCAATTGCACTGTCAGGCAGGTTGTAGGTGAATGCCGATGTGCACTACTATGATAAACAAGCATACATGAGAGAGATGTAATTTTAACCGCACCCCAAAAGTAGGCGGTAATCAAAATGTTTGATAAACATATGAATGCATGTATATGATAGTTAAAAAGCTTTTGTCTTGTTTATATTTGAATTAAGTCAGGTATTTTTGATTTTTTGACTTTTATTTTATTAATTGAATTCTTAAATAATAGTGATTGGTATTATAAAATTTTTAAATAGTATCATTTAACAGTAATAATAGGAATAATGAGTATTATTTGTAAATAGTTAAAAATTATAAATAATATCTATTAAAGCCTTTTTTCATACAGTTACAGACGATTGGAAAATATTACTATATAAATAAAATTTGCTCATTGATAGACTTCCATTTCATTATATCTTCGACTAATAAAAATATTTGTTGACATTTTTTTATTTTTTGTTAGTTATCCATAACTCTGACTTGTTACTTTCGCTTATGACATTCTTTCTTCTTTAACATTTTACATTTCAATAAAAGGAATTCAAAAACAAAAATATTAATCTCCAATTGTAAATCTGTAAATTTGTTTTACATACATTTTTTAATATAAAATGGAAATTTTACTTTAATGAAAAATCTATATTCACATTGGTAAGAAAATAAACATATAAATAAAATAATAGAAAATTACTAAAAATTTTATAGTAATAATCACAAAAATTAATATGTTGCCAATAAAATTTAATTATAAAATAAAACATAATTTAAATTAGCATAAAATTTGAAACATTCAAATAATTTATTAATTATATATATAAGATTTATTGGTAAAAAATTGATAGATATTTTTAAAACGAAGAAATATTAACAAATTAAGTACATGTATTAGTTGTAATTAATTAAAATATACTAAACTATATTTTGAATTTTGTAATATAAAAATAAGTACACGATAATACAATCTTAGCTTATATTTTCTTTACTAATATTTACTAATATTTTTATATATACAAAATTTAATTTTATAAATAGTTGAAAATTAACAGTAATTAATTTAAGAATGTCAATTATGTCATGTAACGTTACAGAAGGATATAATAGAGTCAATGAATAGAGAGTTATATATTTTCGCAAATATTAAAGGAAAATATTGAATATACTTAATGTTTATAGAAAATTTATTTAACGTATTAATCATATTTATTGCAATAAGGTTATCATTTTATAAATAATTTTATTGCTACTTAATTGTAGTTGATTCATATGGAAAAAGAATAATTAAATAAGATTTTTATCTCCATGTAGTGTGTAGGATCTTGAACGAAATATATCTGTAATTTGCATATTAAAAGAATACTCCTTAATAAGGTAAATTATTTTCTATTTTATTTCCAGAGAAAATATATTTAAATACAAAAACCTTTTATTAATAAAAGGGTATTTTCATTTCATAAATAAGTTCAACATTTATATAAAAGAATCCATGAGTTAAACGAATCTCAAATATCACTTTCTTTTCTTATCAGATTATTATTACATAAAACAGCTGAATGTATGTGAACCAAGAAAAAACAAAAACAAATATTACTTATAAGTAATAATTATTTAAGCACTCGATATTCAAATTCTTTTATTACTTTTTACGATGGATACAATTGTTGTTATTATGGTACTTTAGAGTAATAAACGAAAGGAAAAGAACTCGCAATCAGAATCGCGGAACAACAAAAGATATCGGAAGCGATAATGTGATCGCTAACTTTCACCGGTGGCCATTCGTTACATGATAAAACATTAGTGACTTATATTTCGTCTAAAAGTAGTTAGTATAATGTTAATAATACAATCACAATGATTAATATAGTGATCTAAATAAATTTTGAGATAGATTGTTTCGAAAACCTCATTCTTTTCTAGAACGATTAGTAAAGAGATTCCCAAAACAAAATTACATTGTATTTAATTTTGTTGATATTAACAATATTTCTAGAAGCAACAAAACATTTTAAATGATGTATTTGAAATTATTATTTGTAATGGAATTACATTCACTAAATATAATTCAAATTAAGATAATGTTTCAGTTTATTTATAAGAAAATAGTTACCATTAAAAATGAGGATTATTAAAATATATTTAACCATCCTGTAATCTTAAATAAATAGTTTATTTTACAATTACTTTAATTTTATATAAAAATTGTAATTTTGTAACTGAATAAAAATATAAAATAAAAATAGTGCTTAAAAGTCTTAGCGTAAACTTGTCTCCGTCGAATTAAATAAAACGTAAGATTTATTTTTAGATAATTTTATGTTTCTGAAGGTTAATTATAGAAATGACGAAAAATATTTATTAATACCGAATTAATATTTTTGAAAATTTATTTATTTAATGATTTATTAAGTAGTTATAAGAAAAATATATTTCAAATTAAAGTGAATTAAAATGAAAATTTAATAATTTGTATTTATTAAAATTTATTTATATACGTATTTTGTTATAAAAATGTATACACTATTGTGCGATATTAGAATAAATCATTTGTTTTTATTAATATATTAAATAGTATTGATATTAAAGATATTTTTCTTTCAATAGAATATTCTTGTCTTACATAGATATAATGCATAAATATAATGAAATAATTTATTGCTTTTTCTACTTTGTCACAATCAGGAATAATAATAATGATTTACGGGATAAAAGAATATGAGTTGGTATTTGATCTTTAATTCTTCATGTGATTTTTAAGTCAATAATATATATAATCTTACACTGTGAAAAGATATAATTATTTATTTAAGTAAAACATTATATTTATACTTTTATACTGATTATTTAAAAAATAGCGACTATATTAATTATTTTCAAATTTATTTAAAAAAAACACGATTTTCCTTAATTCTTTATTTTATTCCATATATGAATCAACGGATAAGAACGTTTTCAAATCAACTTATTTGCCAACTGATTGAACTTTTACATAATTATAAGATAAATTATGTTGAGATACTTTAAACGTAACTTTTATATATTGAAAATAATCTATTACATAACCAGGGAACAATATACATTCAACCATCATCTACTGACACATTTGCACGTTTCGATGTTGCTTTAGGTATCGCAGACTCACATTGTCTTAACGGTACGTCCGTGGTAGACGTGCGGTGTGAATAGGCTTCCGTTGGCCGTCGACTTGGTGTACACAATTTTTATATGCTGCTTGGACAGGCCAGATGATTTTGCCAATTTGTACTCAATTGGCGGGTATGGCGACGACCTCCTCTCGCGGTTTCGCCTGTCGTTATCAGGCACATGAATCCGAGTTCGCTTGGTCCTGATTACATGTAAAATTAAGATGTACGTGCCAAAAATTGGCTGCTTCCAGATTTCCAATGCGTGGTCGCGCACATACGTCTGCCCGCGCACGTGTTTTTCTGCAGCGGGGGATAAGAACGAATGCAAAATCCAGAATAGGCAACAACTTCAGCCGGTTTTCGATAACTTCTATTCGGTTGCCACTGTCATGATCGAATTCCCGCGCCTGATCCAAGGCTATTTGAGGGCAGCGCACGAACGCGAGGCTGCGTTCTAGAATTTCTGGGAAATGAATGATATATTTACTCGAAGAGTTGAAACACTAAACGAGAGAGAGAGAGAGCAGTGTGTATAAATACGCCGTGAATGCGTTTCGCGCTCGGGGTCTGCGCTCAGACTGAACATCAAGATTCACCGTATACCCTCGTAAAATCGCGCAACCGAACAGCGCCGCGCTGCACCGGTCCTCTCTCTTCGTTTGCCCTGTTCTTTGGTTTCTCACCGACGAGTATACAACAATATTGAGCCTCGTTAAGCTATCATTTTACACACTACGCTTTGCCGAGGACGGCAACGGTCCTTCCTCTCTGATATCAATTGAAAAGACGGGGGGGGGGGGGGAAAGATTTCGCTTTTTAGGTTCCACACTTTATATACAGAGTTTAGATATGAAGATTAATATAAATATTAGGGTTAATCATTTTTCTCAGTTATGATAGCTATAGGTGCCCTGGGTGATTCAGACTAATATAATCGCTCATCATCTGAACGGGACAGTAAAAAATAATTATGAAATAGTCTGATTATTTGAACAAAATATTATAAAAGTCGCTCAAATATACATTCAGTAAATTTTTAATTTCTCATTTAAATATTGACATTAGTATACAAATTAGATATTTATGTTATTTATTTTAAAAGCATCATATTGAGTTAATTGACAAAGAAACGATACCGTAATTTAGAAACATCTTATTTTTATGTTATAACACACTATAAAAATCACTTATATATTAATTTATTTACCATAATAAAATATTTGTGGTATAAAATAAAATTGAAATTTCACAATAATTGTAATTTATTTAATAGCCTTCTTTATTTTATTTTTATGTATCATATCAATAAGTATTAATTCGTGAAAATCTTTAGCAATATTTTTTTATTATTTAATCCACGTGTTTCCAATATTGTCAAAATATTTCTTACTAAATTATAATAAATTTTTTTTATGACGCCTATTAAATATTTTAAATTCTGTCAATTTCAATTCATTTATATTTAAATTATTCAAAGGAAGTTATATATAAATATATAAATATATAAATATATATATATATATATATATATATATATATATATATATATATATACCCTCTTATTTTAATATTCAGAATAGTAATTACATGTACATTATGCTTAAAGAGGTCTTATTTAATTATATATAACTTTGTTCTAATATTTTAATTGCTATTATATACACGTGTATTATTATTTCATATTTATATTTTGATTAATATTTATTCAGAACCACGATTACTTAATTTGAAACATATTGAATAAATCCTTCATTTTGTTGTACTAGTTATCTTTTATATATACATTTGATGTACAGATTTTTCTAAATATTCATTAAATATTATCTAAATCTGAAATATAAAAATTTAATTCTTTAGAATTATGAAACTATTAGTATTGTAGATTATTTTTTATATTGTTATTTGAAATATATACAACAATTTTTCTCGTTTATACATTCGATTTTACTAATGTAATACTAATATTCAAACAAATCTGTCCATAAATATGTAAAATAAAAATACTATGGTCGTTATTCCTATGAGCTTTGTATAAAGCCTATTTAAAAATTTTGTAAATTTTCTACATCCATAACTATAAATAATTTGAAAACTCGTAATTGAATTAAATTTTATTTATTTGTATTATATTAAGTGTTACTAAAAAAAAAATTAAAATGAAAATAATAATTTAACACAAAATATTAATTTTATGTATCGTATTCATGAATCTAAAAAGAATTTTATTTTAAAATCGAACTCTATACAAATACAGTTTATACAACTGTATGTTAATTGATTTAAATTATAAGTTAAGGTAAAATTCCGTAATAAGATAAAATGCATTTATAAAAATGATATGCGTATTAAAGAACAAGAAAAATGTGTTAAACTGTAAATGTGTTAAAATTTATTCCCTATAAATTTTTTGTAGACCGTATTCAATTTGAACATACTGTATAATAAAGTTCACTTTAAACTTAAGTTAAAAACAGTTTAACCAGATTTTTATTCCTTTCTAATTGTTCCGTATTGAATATTTTATCTATATTATATATGTCAGATGTACTTTAAATAAAGTTTAATTAAATGTTTAAATATATATAGTTCTTCAATTGTTAAAAAAATGTCTAAAGTTTGTTATATATTTTAGCATGAGAGAGAATATAATTTATTATTACGTATTATTTTGTCTGTACACGTTAGTTTAATTATAGAACAAAAAATGTTCATATATATTATTTATTAGATATGTAATAAAATGAAAAGAACACCAAAAATATTTATGCTTTCGAATCACGTAGAAAGTTGAAGATATTTTTAATTAAATCAGCTGAGTAATTAAACTGTAGATTTCATTGGCATACACCCGAACTTACTTTTAGAGCTTTGCAAATAATAATGATATTGACATGCATTAACATTAAAGTTAAATTAAGATTTTATTTAAATACAGGAAGTTTGAATTTAGTTGTTTAATTGAATGAACTAAATACCATAATGCTCCAAATATAATTTTGAATATTCTCGTTTCAAATAAAAGTACATTGTCGTAACAATTTCGTAAGCACATTTTCTAAATAATATATCAATATTGTATTTTTTTATTCAAAATTTGTTTATGTTGATGAAATATCAAAAAATATTTTATTGAATAAAGAATTTATTTTAAAGGGCGAATTATATTTATTAAAACTTATTCATATTTCCTACAAAGTTTCATTTTTTAATTGAAATTATTGGACAAAAACAAATATATTTTTACATCATATATAATACTAAAACATTTATTTGCCTTATTTAAGTATACGATTTTATTAAACAGTTTATCAAATAGGTTTTACTTCATAAATTTAAATGAAAATTCTAGTGTGAAGACATAAAATTTAATAACATTAGTGTACTTATCATATTATCATAAGAAAGCTGATATAAATATAATTAAATTCTTATGCTTAATGTTCCTACTTCGGAAATTTTCCTTTTACTACTATATATTAGTATATAATCTATATATTTATTTATTATTTAACAATAATGAAATATTAATGAAATACTGGCAAATTACTGTATATGATCTAATGAATAACTTTTACGAAAGCATGAATAGATATAAGCAGCACAAGGTGCAAAGTGATAATTAGATGAAGGTGTTTCCGCTAACACAACCTTATGAGAATTAGGACTAGTATTGATATTAGCATCACCTATGTGAGCTTTGGTTTCAAGATCATGAGATACCACAGCATGACTCTAGAATAAACGCATCGCACTTGACACCTACGCTGTACTTTTTTCCCAACACTTTTTCCTTTAATTCAGATTTAAAACAATGTAAATGCTAAACACTGTATTAATTTTAAATATAAAAATATTTTAAATACAAAATAATTTAAATATAAAAATATTTTAAATATAAAATATTTTAATTATAAAAATAATATTTAACTAAAAAAAAAAATTTATATTGTACTTTAATTTTTCAATTAATAGATTTGATAGGCTTCAACATACTTTTCTGTATAATTTATTCTTATATTGAAAATGGTATAAGCATAATTAAAAATGTGGTAATTACATGTAACATATATTAGAATTTTATTTAAAAATTTCTTTATTTTAAATCAGTTTTATAGTTCATATAAATTTTTTCAAAATTATTTTGATAAATCAATTTTGAAGTGTCTTTTATTGTTATTTTAACATTGAAATATTATTATTTTAGGATTATTATTTCATGAACTAAACAATATTTCATAATAAAGATACACTTAAGTTATAAATTATATATCATTTTAAGATACTAAATAGTAATAAAACACAAAAAAAATTATTTTATAATGAAACTCATTGTTTTTTTTTTTAATTTTTGTATTGAAAAAATATTTTAAACATATTATGGATACAAAAATATTAATTATATGTATAGCAACTTAAAAATATTATATGTACTTAATGAATAAACCGCTATTATGAAGTAGCGATAGCTAATTATTTTAAAAATTAAATAAATAAAAACATAAACGATTTTTTAGACATAGTAGCTTGTTTATACATTTTGAATTTTTTAAATTTCATATAAAAATCTGAATGTCATCGATAGTTTTGTATATAAAATTTATTTTATTGTGTTATATATATTTAAAAGAATAATTAATATATATATAGTATAATAAAAACATTTTATAGATATAGTAGTTTCTATTTACTTTAAGGAAATAATTACCACTCAACAATTGAATTATTTAGAAGAAATGATTGAAGGCATAACAATGAATTTGTATTATTCACTATATTAATTGTATAATGTAGGCGCAAATTAAAAATAAGATGTATCAATATTGAAAAAAACAATCCATACCACTTCGTCTTAATTGCCTACTGTCAGTGCATCGACCTTGTGCTCCCGCTTCCCTGTCAAGAAGGCGAGGAAATGTATGAAAGGGGGTTCTAACGCAAAGAAAAGTACGCATGCGCACAGTACGGCAAGCGAAAGTTTTCTCGCATCGAGACACATTCATCATTGCTGCATATTCGGG